TCCAGCTTCCATCCATCCTGGTGGTCTCCACTGGACTCTTTCCAGTTTATGGACACCTCTTATATTGGACTCCCCAACTGAGGCCAAGGTGAAGATTCCCAGGGGGACATTCTCCTCCCTGGATCTGCAATGACCCTGTCACCCAGAAGTTCTGGGTCATTGTGCCCCTTTCCCCACACAAACCCATCCCTGTGGTGTCCTGTTTGTGGTAGAGCCACACAGGTGGCTGTCCCCTTGTTGCAGGAAGGATCATGACCCTCAGCGCTGGGCACATGACACCCCCTCCTCTCTCTCCCCAGACTACGCCTTTGCATCCCCCAGCACTGGAATTGCACAGACCACCTTCGTGGGGATCATCATCTCCCGGGGATCGGCTGCCTCCATCTCCTTCATGTACTCCTACATCCTGCTGACCATGTGCCGTAACCTCATCACTGTCCTGCGGGAGACCTTCATCAATCACTACATCCCCTTCGACGCCGCCGTCGACTTCCACCGCTGGATTGCCATGGCAGCCCTGATTTTCTCAGGTGGGTGGGCTGCTACGGGCTGTGGGTGGGCAGGACCAGGAAGCAGCTTAAAGACCTTGCAGAGACGTAGATGCCTTGTGCTACAGAAGAGGAGGAATCTCCGGGTCCCTGGGGACATTACCAGAGTCTGACACATCTCTATCCAAGTGATCCAAGTGATCACATCAAGTGATACTTTTTTCTCCGTGTGTTTGTCTCTTACAGTGCTCCACACTGCAGGTCACATAGTGAATGTCTACATCTTCTCAGTCACACCTCTCAGCGTGCTGTCCTGCCTCTTCTCCAACGTCTTCACAGATGACGGGTAGGTGGAATTTGAAGCAGAGTCCAGACAGGGTGTCCTGGACATGGTCAGAAATAAAAACGGAAACCATTAGTTCATTCTGGTCTCTCCATGGTGCAATCTCTTGTCCTTCTCCAGGTCACAGCTGCCACAGAAGTATTACTGGTGGTTCTTCCAGACTGTTCCAGGTGAGAACACCTAGCAGGCAGACCTGCACACCTGTGACCAGGATGGGCAGCCCTCTGCCCAGTCCAGTTAGTGCCCCTGTGGGGCTGGCCTGTTCTCCCCCACAGGGCCTCCCAACTGTTCTTCTCACAGGCATGACAGGAGTGCTGCTGCTCGTGGTCCTTGCTGTGATGTATGTGTTTGCCACCCACCACTTCCGGCACGTCAGCTTTCAGGGCTTTTGGATCACTCACCACCTCTATGTGCTGCTCTACATCCTGGTAAGGGATTTGGGCCGGAATGGAGGGATGGTGCCAACATGCTGCAGGCCTCTAGGTCAAGTCAGTGCAGCTGATGAGATGGAATAGCTTGGGGTAGTCCCAAGGGAGATGGTAGCCCCAGTCCTGGCTCTCCATTGCTGTTGAGCTGCAATAAAATCACCGCTGGGGTGATGACTTACCTCGCTAAAGGGTTCTGCTCCCTGCCCAGGTCATCATCCATGGCAGCTATGCACTGATCCAGCAGCCCCGTTTCTACATCTACTTCATCATCCCAGCTCTCATCTACAGTGCAGACAAGCTGCACAGCCTGAGCAGGAAGAAGGTGGAGATCAGTGTGGTGAAAGCTGAGCTCCTGCCCTCAGGTACCACAACATCCCTGGTCACACAGCACCAGCCCAGCCCAGACTCCCCGCATCAGGGGCTGCAGCGATGCGGAAACATCGACTCCGCAACATCTCCAACTTAACAGAGCCGCCTCCCCGATTTCCCCACAGGTGTCACGCACCTGCAGTTCCAGCGGCCACAGGACTTTGACTACAAGTCTGGGCAGTGGGTGCGCATCGCCTGCGTGGCCCTGGGCACCAGCGAGTACCACCCCTTCACGTTGACCTCGGCTCCACACGACGACACGCTGAGCCTGCACATCCGCGCCGTTGGGCCCTGGACTACCCGTCTGCGGGAACTCTACTCTCCCAAGAACCTGGCCCTCCTTGGCACACTGCCCAAGGTGAGCCATGCATAGGATGTCACCCACGGGGACATCTGAGCCCAAGAGCCTCTTGGCAACGGGTTGTGCCAAGTTCCAGGCACTTCTCCAGCCCTGAGGGCTTCCACGAGCTGGGCAAGCAGAGACTTCTGCTAACAGCTGATTCCCTTCCAGCTGTACCTGGATGGGCCCTTTGGGGAGGGCCACCAGGAATGGAACAAGTTTGAGGTGTCGGTGCTGGTGGGAGGAGGCATTGGGGTGACACCCTTCGCATCCATTCTCAAGGACCTGGTCTTCAAGTCATCAATAAACTCCAAGCTGCTGTGTAAGAAGGTAAGAGTATGTGAAAGATAAGCCCCCCTAAGAGGCTGGACTCCATGATCGCAGGGGTCTTTTCCAACCTAATTGATTCTGTGATTCTGAGATGCCTCCTGTGGCTGCTGGCCTCTTTGGGGGTAAAATCCTCTGTGGAGTCCATGGGCATTCATAAAGATGCTGGCCCCGCTCTGGGCCTCATTCGACTGTGCCACAGATCTACTTCATCTGGGTGACGCGCACACAGCGGCAGTTTGAGTGGCTGACTGACATCATTCGGGAGGTGGAAGAATCGGACAAGAACAACTTGGTTTCTGTGCATATCTACATCACACAGCTGGCCGAGAAGTTCGACCTGCGCACCACCATGCTGGTGAGCCTGCACATCCAACAGGGAGGATGCCAGGCCATGCCGGGCCATGCCGGGCCCTGCCAGGCCATGCTGGGCCCTGCCAGGCCATGCTGGGCCGTGCCAGGCCATGCTGGGCCATGCTGGGCCGTGCTGTGCCGTCTGACATGCACCAATGTCTCTTTCAGTACATCTGTGAGCGGCACTTCCAGAAGGTGCTGAACAAGAGTCTATTCACAGGGCTGCGCTCCATCACCCACTTTGGGCGCCCTCCTTTCGTACCCTTTTTCAGCTCGCTGCAGGAGGTGCACCCTGAGGTCAGTGTCTGGCTGGGGAGAGGAGCAGGTGCACCCACTGCCCATTGTGGAGGACTGGTCCCAGCCTGTCCCCAAGGTCCTGGAGACCTCAGTGGCATCTGCACCAAGAACACAGTGGAAGGGGAATGAATCCTGTTTTCCTTCTGGAGCCAGGCGGAGCTACAAGAGTCAGCAATGCCCCATACCAGCCAAACTCCTCCTGCTATTGCAGGACCCTGGCTGCAACCAGCGGTCAGAGCTGGGGGGCTCCCATCCCTCCTCCATGGCTCTGCCAGCTCCATGGGAATGTGACAACCTCCCCAAAAGCCTCTGGAGGCTGAGAAAGACTGCTCAGCCAGCATCCATGGCCAAAGCTGTCAGAGAGCAAGGGATCGAGAGGGGCTGGACTGTGGGGAGACCTGGTGCTGCAGTCTGACCCCTTTGGCTCCCTCCTTCCCCAGGTGCAAAAGATCGGGGTGTTCAGCTGTGGCCCGCCCGGGATGACAAAGAGTGTGGAGCAGGCTTGCCGGCAGATGAACAAGAAGGACCAGACCTACTTTGCACATCACTATGAGAATTTCTGACCCAGCCTCACACTGTTCCACCCTCTGGCTGCAGCTGTATTTTTTCACTCCAGCACCTAGCAGCAACACTTCAAGCAGCCATGGTCCCAGGCTCCCACCCACCAGCGTCCCCAGGTGAAAGCCATGCACAGCTCACAGCAGGGATACTGAGACTGCAGAGCAGAGAGTGGTGTGATAGTGAAGCCTTGCCAGCCCAGCACTGCATGGCCCCTGTGTGAACCCCTGAGCCCAGGACCATCCACACATCCCTGCAGCCCCACACCCAGGGTCACGCTGGTGTGTCCCAATCCAGAAAACTCACTCTTTGAGTTAATCCCAGCTCTGCCACCTTAATCACACAAGACAGAGCTTGTGCTCTGCTGGAGGACTCAGGGAATGTCTCTGACCAGCTTTGAGGAACAGCTTGGTGCCTGCACAATCTGAACTCACAGCACTTTGTTCCAAGACCCATGTGGTGAACAGATGGGGTGAGGAGCCAGCAAGCCCCCTGCTATCCCTCTTCTTGAAACAGCTTTCCTCACATACTCTTCAGTGCCTTCTTCTGCCTTCTGTGGGTTTGCATAGGGCCTTAGCTGGGTTTGCATTGGCTTCTTCCAGCACTGTCATAGTCCTTTGACCAGGGATCAGTAGTGCTTGTTTAAGTAATGCCTGACTTTGTATCACTGCTGCTTTTGCAGGCTGTGGTTTAGCTCAAATAAAGCTGACTGAAGTCTTAAAATGCTTTCTTGGCTCCTGTAGTTGGATCTTGGTCACCTGGAGACTTGTAAAATACTTTTAGCATCATGCTGGCCTTGCTCCTGGCACAGAGCATTAACTCCAGCCCACTGGAAAATGGGCTAAGTTGGAGTTTCCCCTGCACTGGTGACATAGGTGGAGTTGGGGGTGGGGGATTACAGTCAGAGCCCCACTGATTATGTCCACCAGACCTATCACCCCAGCAATCCCCCTGCAGTGTCAATGCCCCCAGCAAGACCTGATGAGGGAGCAGATCAGACAAGGAGCCCAAGCAGGCTGAGCTGTGGGAATGACTCCAGCCCTCAGGATGCTAAACAGCCCCCAAAGGCTACAGAGGAAAGATTTCCGTTTCCCAGTAAGAACAATCTCGCAATGGCCACTGGTTTTCCATCCATGCCAGTGGGGATCCCCACAGGACAGGAGTTGGGATGGCCAGTGAATCCCCAGCCATGCCAACAGCTTCCTCCCAGCATGGGAATGTGCTGAGCACAGATTTTGACCGCTTCTTCCAGCTACAGAAAGTTCCCCTGGGTTATGTCTCATCCCTGTAAAATCCAGCATGGACTTGGGGCCTTCCATCTGTGCCAGGATGAACTTGGCCACCTCTGGAATAAATGTGAGATTTCATTTGCAAGCGGTTGGGTGGTTTGAGATTTCACAGTCCTGCCAACACTGAGCTCAACCTGCACCCTGGCAAGGCTTAGGTCTGCACAGTCCCCTCCAACCCACTACCCCACATTTCAAAGGACACATCTGGAAGGTCTCAGGCAGCCAGAATTTATTGAGGAAAGTTCAGTTCCAGCCCAAGGAAGGAACTGATCTCTCAGTACTAAAATTAACATGACTGTAATCAAAGATTAGACTTTTGCTACATTGTTAGTACCTTGTTTGTGGCTCACAAACTCAGCAGGAAGGCTTGATACTCCCAAATTATGAGTTATTTAATTATTAAATTATTAAATAAATTAATTATGAGCTGTTCACAGTGGTAAAACCTTTGAGTGATGCTGTCCCCTCACGTCTCACCTGTGCTCCCCTTCACATCAAAAGCAGCTGTGCCCCCCAACAGCCCCTTCACAGGAGGCACATAAGGACAGGACTCTCAGCAGTCCCAGTCTCCCTGCCTGCAGTGCTCCCACGAGGAGCTGCTGGGGGGTGACACAGCAGACGTGGTCCCAGCTGACCTCCAAGTTTCAAAAAAACCCCGGTTCTGAGTTTTGAGAAGAGTGCCCTGAATGTGCCAGTGCTTCCCATGGAGTGGGGAGGGCCAGGCTTTTTTCCACAGGCTGTACAGTCCCTGAGCACCCACAAGGGAAGGAGGAATATTCATACAGGGCTACCTGGCATCCAGGGATTGCCATGCAGGAAGTGCTGCAGCCAGGGCAGTGTGGGATGGGAAGGGGGAGTGCCAGCATCTCCACCCTTGCTGTGCCACATGCCAGTGACACCCTCCCTGGCACATGTGGTCTGTGAAGAAGAGCCACCAACTGTACAAATCACCATCTCTGATTTAGGATTTTGATTCAAGCTATTGGATGTCCATTTGTGGTTACCAGTTAATGCTCTAATGCTGTTTCCCAGTGCCGCTGACGCTCATTACAAGAGATTTTCTAGTTACAAGCAGCAGGGATGAGCACCGGGCACTGGGACAGCTCAGGGGCTCTGATCGGTGGGGTCACACTTCAGCATGACTTTGACCCCCTCACCCCTCTTGGTGGTCTCAAAGGCCTCCAGAGCCTTCTCCAGGGGAAAACGGTGCGTAACTAAGGGCTGAATGTTGATCCTCTTGGATGCAAGAAGAGCAATGGCCACAGGCCACCTGCAAGGGAAGCAGAGAACAGGGGATGAGAGCGGACACTAGTCTGGAGTCCAAGAAAAGAGCATGGAGCAGCCTGGATCATCACAGTTACTTCCTTAACCCAGGGAAGTTTTGCCTGCAAAGAATCTTCTGGGGAGGGAACCTTAAGATGGGACAAGCCAACTGCTCTGGGCTGTTGAGCTCTGAGAAGACAGACACCACTAGACAGACAGTTGGGAGAGTAACTGAAATCACAGGAAGCAATTGAAAATCACGGGAAACTACTACTTTGGAAGTCTGAATGAGAAGTGAAATTGCCATGCTCCACTCTCCTTTTGCCTGGCCTCTTGCCTGCACACTGACCATGGTGGAGCTCAAACTCATGGACTCAGTGCAGGGAGAAAAAAGGGAAAGCCTCAGTCAGACTCCAGCCTCTCCTCTGGCACAGAGTCCCTCATATGGATTGTGTTGCATGTTCATTTAGAATCATAGAAACACTGAGACTGGAAAAGGCCTCCCAGATCATCAAGTCCAAGCATGAATGGGCCACATTAGAGCAACAGGGATACAAAGGGATGCAGAAGCTAACCTAGCTCCCAAACTGCCTACTTATTAATGCTTCTCATTTTAAGGAGCGCGACATCATCCCATAAATCCTTCCTGGAGAGCTACAGATTAAGAAAAGATACTTTCTGCATTAGGAGGAAAGAATTGCTCCAAGGAATTTTAACCTGGGGACACATCAGCCCCACCTCTGCACAAGACTCACGTGTTGCAGTAGCGGAATATCCCACGGATATCCACCTCCCGCACAGCAGCGTTCACAATGGGCACCGTCACCATCTCAGGCCCCAGCCCCACCAGAACCAAGGTCCCACCAGAACGAGTGGCCTGGAGAGCAAACACACAAACAGGTTTCATTTTGCAGAACACAGTTGCAGGAGCCTGTGCAGGGTATGTCAAAAATAAGACCAGCCTCTGTGGCTGCAATGAACTGCCTGGAGCACAGCAGAGAAGCCAGGGAGAGGAAGGATGCTGTCAGGAGTCTGTAAGAGTGAAACACGTAGTAATTGAAGCTAAAAATGCAACCTTTTGAAAATCTCTGAAGGAATTTGGTAGGTATCTGAAATTCCTATTCTGAAAACCCCATTCTGAAAAGTGGCTGGCATTTAGGACTACAAAAAGTACTTTGGGATTTCAGTGGGAGAGACTTAAAACTAAGAGCCTGATGCTCTACTGGAATTTCTCTTCTTGCAGTTTTTCCCATTCCCCTCCTGTCCTTTCACTGTGCAACTCCACATTAACCTTCCCCCCATCCTTCTGTTAGGATGTTCATGGCAGTAAAACATCCCTTTCTTAATTTCTGCTTTCATTGCTTCTGGAATTAATTTTCTTGATAATTCTTCTTATTTGGACATAACTTCAATGGAAGGTGCTGCCCTACTCCCTGGGTTTGGGGATCTTACTGGGGTCTCCTTGGTAAGTGCCTAAGCTCCCAAGCATCAAACCAATGATCAATTATCCCCATGCTGAAAGTTAACACTTTAATTGTCTCTGTTCGTTTACTATCTAAGGAGCAGATTCTCTACCCAAGAGAGAAGCCCAGCTTAAACCAAGCACTGTGGGAGTGAAATAGCTCATTCACTGAACCATCCCAGAAAAAGCCAGACTAACACCATCACTGCCTTTGGAACAAGTGGTACTCACATAAATTCCAGCCTGGATACAGGCTTGTGCTCCTGTGCACTCCACAGTTATCTCAGGCATGCAGCCAAGCACACTTTCCACTTTGGAGGCCACCTCCTGCGGGGACTCATTCTTCACCTGAATGGTGAAATCTGCTCCCACCTCCTTGGCTTTTTGCAGGCGAGAGGCAGACAAGTCTGTGGAAAGAAAACTTAGTCAAGAACTGGAGCATTATGTGAAAGAGGAGGAAGAACCTGAACCTGCCATCTGCTCACTACGTGTGTGCACAGGGCAGTGCACAACCAGAGAGGTGAGGATTCACTCCTACTTGGCAGGCAGAGAATGACCATAAAATCTCAGAATAGTTTGGGTTGGAAGGGACTTCAAAGCTCCACTCCAATTTGACGTGCCATTCCCTGCCATGGGCAGTGACACCTTCCACTAGAAGCACAAGGTGCTCCAAGCCTTGTCCAGCTTTGAACACTTCCAGGGATGCAGCAGCCACAGCTGCTCTAGGCAACCTTTGCCAGGGCCTCATCAACCTCACAGGGAAGAATTTCTTCACAATATCCCATCTAACCCTGCCCTCTGGCAGTGGGAAACCATCCCCCCTTGTTCTGTCCTTCCAGACCCTTGATCTAAGTCCCTCTCCAGCTCTCTTCAGGCCCTGGCAGGGGCTCTGTGCTCTCCCTGGAGCCTTCTCTTCTCCATGCTGGACACACCCAGCTCTCCCAGCCTGGCTCCAGAGCAGAGGGACTCCAGCCCTCCCCTTTATTATCTTCACTCCCCTCCTTCAGATCTGATCTAACCGATGCACATCCTTCTTGTGCTGGGGGCTCGAGATGATGAGGATGATGAAGGGTGAGCCATGAGGACAACTTAATGACACAGGAGACGCCAAAGGCTCCCCAGCTGCAGAGGAGGGTGTGCTTCAAAGAGGCTGAAGATGAAGCCCACACCATGCAGAGCAATGTCTGAATGAAGGAACAGCCACCACCATTAGAAGTGTCTTCTAAGGTGTCATGGAGTTACTTTACCTTTAAGGGAGTTGGAGTTGCTGGGAAGTGCTTAGAGTCTTTTCTCCTGACCAATTATCGGTCATTGCTGGGAATTGACAGCAGTTTAGGCCATTGAAAAGTGGGATCAACTTGTGAACCCTACCTTAAAATGTAAAAGCAGAGCTCTGTGGGTTCTCTTTGTTTTCTGGCTGTGGAGGGTGGCGGAGGTCCAGGCCTCCCGTCCCTGCCCAGGCCATGCGGCCGGGCGGGGATGGGGCCGGGCCTGCCCCGTCTCCCGGCCGGGAGATGGGGGGCCTGGGGAAGGTTTTCCCCGAGCCGGGCCGAGCCGACCTCTGGCTCGGCTGCAGGTTTTGCTGTAACTAATTCACTAGAAACTGCTCAGTGAAGAAAGAGAGAGGCCCTGGACTTGCAGCGGGTTGGAGCAGCGACTACACGCTCCAGAGCAGCCATGAGGAACTTCCCATCGCAGACGGCTCCAGCTCCTGTTCGGCAGAGATCCTCGAACCATCTACAAAAGCCTGGGCAAGATGTTAACTCTTTCATTACCCAGATGAGACTTGCAGATTAATCTTTTTATCCAGAGAGAGAGAGAGAGAGAGATCAACATGAAAAGAGACTTTATAAACTACCAGTGACAGGAAAGAAAAGAAGCTTCAGGAAAGGTAGAGAATTAAGAAGATGCTTTAATTAAGCTGAAATATCTCCCTGTTAAAACTATGGAGATGGACAATGAAGTCCTGAAAAGAACTCCTTTAATTCATGATATAGGATCTAGAGAGGAATAGTGTTCAAAGTGTAAATTTGAGTAAAGAGTAATTATAGTATAGTGAAGTGCTGGGAGATTAAAAGCCTTGAGAGGCAATGAGAAAACTGTTGAGAGATTAAAAGCCTTGAGAGGCAATGAGAAAACTTTTTTCTGGTGAAGCTCACAGAAACAGATGAAGAAGACTTTTTTTGTCTTTGAATAACTTATCCTTAAAAACGCTATCTCTAGACTCATGGCCCATACATACTTCAGAGTGATGTGAAAATGGGAGGAGTGAACTCTAATAATAGCAGCTCTGAGCAGCTAACATTAGATCAATAGAAAACTATAACAAAAACAGTTTTCTTGTGAAAAACTCCGTAAATTAACAGGAAGAAACCTCTGTTTCTCTATAAAGACTGGTGAAAATACTAGCAGAGTTTTTGTCTCTGTTGTCATGTGAACAAGGGAATAGTGGGTAGATAGGGGATGGAAAGGTTTTTCTGGAAGTTTATTCTGGTGTTCTTATTATTGTGGTTTGTCAATAAACTTTTTTTTTCCCTTTTAAGTTGTATGCCTGTTTTGCTCTTGTTCTAATCCATATCTCACAGCAAGAAGTAAGTAATTTTCTTAGTTATTGGTTTAAAACCACGACAACTTGGTATTCTAAACTGAGATTTCTATCAAAAAAAAAAAAAGAAAAAAAAAAAAGGTACTCCTTTGCAAAGCACTGAAAACATTCAGTATATAGAAGGCTATTGGCATATAAAAGTCATGGAACCACACTAAGAGGTGTGAATGGTTATCTAGGCACTAGTACAGCAAACCCAAGCATATTGTTAGTATTGAATACTGTCATTAAATAATTGCCTTCTTGCAATAAGGAAAAGGGTTTAATTAGTTTTTGAAAGCCATGCCTTTCTAAATGGCTGGTAAAAATGGATTTTGTTTTTAACCATGAGAAAATATTCAAACAAAATCTTACATATGTAATACCTCAAGCTATGTATCAACATCTCTTTAAAAGTATCCGGTCTCTTGGTGAGCTAATTATTGTTGGGATTTTCTAATTAACTAGTATTCTTTTTATGACTTTGAAAAGTTGGATATGTCTAGTCATTAAAATAAACCAAAACCCTGATACCACAATTTGTTGTGTTTGCAAGGTAAGTTTTATTTCTGTTATTTCAAACAGCAAACATGTAATTACCATATGCAGAAGGAGGTGTTTGATACAGAAACAGGTGTACCAATGGAATACACATGCCTTCTAAGAAAAGTAGAGGTTTGTCAGTGCCACTCACAACAAAGGTTCACTGACAAGTGAGTTTATAGTGGAAGCTGCTTTTAATTGACCAGACAGTTTCCCACATACAATGCAAGCCCATCAAATTACTGGTTTTAGAGCAAAGTAGCAATATTAGTTGTGACCTGAATACCTATGCTAAGGCCAGATTGATTCCTAGTCTCTCGTATCTCTGCCTTCTCTGCTTTAAAAGATAAGAACTCATGATTAATTTAATACCAAAGCAGAGACTGTAAGGGACCCATTTTGTTCCAGGTAGGAGAAGATGAAATGTAGACACCAGAGCATCTCTAGTACTACACATGTAACATTACAGGCTTTTTAAAAGCCTTAACTTACAGGAGATCAAGTATAAAGAACACAGTGTGCAAAAAAAAAATAAATGGGTGGCTAAACATATTCTGTGTGGGGAGTGAGACACTGGCATTAATATCGTGGTATTAGCAAAGCCTTAGCTTTTACCTCTTACTCATTTTCATACATACTTCAAGTATTTACATTTGTTAATGTTTGGTCATATGCAAACAGACGTAACAGTAAACTTACACCTTCTACATTCTCAGTCTTTGTGTAATCTTTGTGCTGACACAACAGTCAGCAAGTGAAACTTAATTTCTGCCAAGTATGCAGAATGGTTTTAAAAAATAAGAAATACCATTTGCAAAACAGGTGTATCATATGTTCAAAATCCTAAAATAAGTGTTACTTTTCAGATTTTCTGTATTTAAAATATTGTGTTTGGTCTATTTCTATTCAGATGTTCAACACAAAACCAGAAGTTCTTATTCCCTATCTAAAACTAGCACTGAATTCTGCTGTATACCCAGTCAGTAGGTGCTCAAGGCTGGGGGAGGAACCCCAGTACTTCTATATTGGAACTGTCAGACTGAAACACAAAACCTTAAACAGTTTTGGATTTTGGAAAACTTGGGATTTTAATTGGGAATCGGCATTACTGGAACTAATTGGAAAGGAGTAAGCTCTGCTGAGACTAATTAAAAAAACCAGATGAGCCATGCTAAAACTAAGGGCAAATGGAGAGGTATTTAGAATTAGAATTTAGAATTAGAAGGTAATTGCTAACTATCCTAGATGTAGAAGCTGACTCAGCTGGGCTTGGGAGGGAAAACAGGGAACTGATAAGGATCTTCGAAAACCTAAGACACTTGTAAATCAAAAAACTCGTTAAAACAGGAAACTAGGATCCCAGCCAAAGGCCTATTGGGCCCATTCATAATTGTAATAAATTAATCTATGAGTAAAAATTTGTAAAGATATAATTAAAATAAATATATGTGATTGTGATGTCATAAAAAATATAACATATAATGGGAATAAGTCCTTCTCCGGATCTGGTCGTGATTCTCCTCCGAGAGGCAACAGATTGCAGCCAAGTACCCAGATAACAATCGCAAGCAGGCACATCAGCCCAGAAAGAATGGGCAGGACACGGGCCATCGAACAAACAAAGGAACGGGCCCGGACGAGATATCACCGAACCCGAGCACCTCCGCCCTGCCCGCCTGTGTTGGGGAAATGGAGAAACTAGACAAAGGAAGAGGAGCCAGCCGAGATAGCCATCGGCTCTAGGATGGGTCCCACCACTCCACCCTAATGGCCCGGACCAAAATGATATCAAAAAGACATCCTGGACCTCTTTACATATGAGGAGCCTCTGCCCAACGTCTATTGACCCTATTCTCTGGTGCCAGGAAATCTATTCTTCGAACAATCAAGAACCTCTTAGCAAAGGGTGCCTGCTTGGAATTTGGCCTCGGGACACAAACTTCCTATAAAAACCCAGGCCAAAGGATTCTCAGGCGTGGATTTGCGAGCACCTATACCTTGCGTATAGACCCTGTCCACCCAGCGCTGTGCTGCTTATTTTATTGTGGTTTTTTTTTCGTTGTTCGAATTTATTCTTGTTTGATAATAAATTTTCTCTTTGGCCACTCTTTGTCCTTTGTCGAGCACCCCCGAAGTACCCACAGTTAGGTTGTCCCAGCAACTAATGGGTAAAAATTCCATGGGCAGGCCAGAACAACAAAAAAACAACAAAAAAAGGACACCTAACCCTCAACAGGTTGGAAGGTCAAAATGAAGAGGAGCTGTATACGTTCCTCTCTT